TTACAGGTGTAATCAAGGATAGTAAAGAAATGAGCTACATAATATATTTGCTATTAGATTAGATTTCTTCAGGGAAGTAAGTGATAATTAAAAACAAATAAAATAACATCATTTTTCTGCTCTAGCTGAAATCACCTGATAAATCGCTCAGACTCAAACTAAAGATGACCAAAATATATTTGAGATGCACTGTGCCACAGCAGGTCTGTTCACTGGATAGATTGATCCTTCATGCTACGGGTAAAAAAAATTGTTTTTAATGAACTCATTAAAATCCTGCCAGCTGTGTCTCTGGGCTGCCACACCCACTGCCGTGTACATGATTGCACATTTGGTGCCATTCCAAAGCAAGTCAATTAACTTTACTTGCATCTGTTTTTTGTTTTATTAATGGAAGGTCAGATGTTTCTTAGAGATCCTGATGCGCACTATAGCCTGTAGAGAAATACTTCCATAGATAAACAAGTGAGGTACAAACTTTTCTGTACCGCTTGAAACCTTTTGCAACTTATGTTATACCCACCCTGATCGCACCACGTCAAAAAATCCTGGAAAGGATGACCATGCACTTTTAAGGATGATTAATTCAAGTCAGGGCAGGCTTGTCAAGGAGAAATAAATAAATAAATAAAATTGAACTCTGTTCAGCTGTTTTCTGCAGCAGAAGCAGGAAAAGCAGTCAATTTTTTTGCACTAGTATTCAGTGAGTATTCTCAGCCAGGGGCTAATAAGATCTCTGTACACATCTCACATAGGAGAGAACACTATTTTCTTATAGCTGTAGTCCAGTTAAGTGCTTTTGGGTGTGTTTTTGTTGATAAGAAAATCAAAGATATGAAAGAAAAGTACTGACACTGACATAAATAATCCTTTTCTGTAATAAACAATGCGCTACGTGAGGGGGGGGGAGGCCTATTTAAATATAAAAACTGTTTGTCCGACATTTTTCCACATTAAACAAAGCCCATTATTTGGATAAATTTCTAACAATGGGTCTGTGAGTCACTATCGTCAGAGGAATTCAAGGTAACTCTTTAACCAACCCAAGATGCAGCACACGTGAGCCAGAGATCCATAAATCTAATCAGAGAGGCGATGAGCTCAAAGTAGGATTTATGAATTTCCCTTTACAGCCTTGTAAAACACTAACTCTAATCTCACTAATTATTAACCCGTGAGAAAAACTTTGCTCTCATTTGCGGCATATCTGGTCACATGATAATGGGGCTGCTGGGTAGAATTGTATAAAAGGAGGCTTGTAGGCACAGGGAAATCAGAAACATCAAACTGAGTACCTGCTGAGCACATCTACAATAAGACGCAAAAAGACTGCAAGACAAACTGCTGTCTACTGTCACCATGAAAGCCACATTTGCCATCATCGCTCTCGTCGTCCTGGCTCTGGGCTGGACCTCTGAGGCTGTGCAAGTTGAAGTAAGTGCCTTTCTTAGCATCATTGCATGACTGATGTGTTCATGATGAGATTGCAGGCTTGAACAATGACAATTTTCTGCTCATTAGTAGAGAGAGTGAAGCTCAAATTTTGGGAAATTAAACTAACTTTTGTTCTTGATTTTCATGGATTACAAATCATACTGAAACTGTGTAGACTCTGAAGCTTTAGATGAAGTTGCAGTGCCTTTGTAACTGAAATTGCTTCTCTTTCAGGAGAACGGATTGTCTTTCTCAATGGAAGCTGTCAAGCGGCTTCAAGAGCTGTCGGAGAGTAACGGTATGACAGGACAACAAAACCCAAGACTGAAGGCTAACACCATGTCCCTCTGCGCTGACCCCATGCTCCCACAGGAGTTTCTGCCACTGTGCAGGCAGAGAGGAGCATCTGCTTCCCTTCTCAGATTATGTAAGGCATTTAGGCAGTTTGCCTGAATCATAACATCTTAGGTCATAAGTATTAAATATAGATGACTCATCAGTGTACCTTATCTGCTTCCATTTCTTGTCTTCATTTTAGCTGCTGTACCCTTGGACATCTGTGAGATCTGCGCATTTGCTGCCTGCACTGGTTGCTAAACAAACAAAGCAAGCCAGAAACATCCTGCTTACTTGTGATTAATTTTTCATCCCCTGCTAAAATGTTTTAAGGAAATTTGACTTTTAACCACATGCAATGATGAACCAATGGCTTTATCTCTGCGTTTTTGACTCTGGCCCATTGGATACCTGAAAATTTTAGACTAAAAGTATCTCAAAAAGGAAAAGAAAAAAAGAATCTGACAAAATGGGGAATGTTTTGCAAACTGTTACTTAGCATAATATAGCATATTTACTATTTTATTTTTTTGCAGAAAATTCTTCAGCATGCATTTTGTTTTGGATTTTTCGTTTGTTACATTTCCATCTTGCCTTGCTTTATATTCATATTTAAAGAAATGTTTTCTTTTTATTATTATTGTTTGGAATAAAAAGCCTTCATTGATAGATGACGTGTACATTGTGGTCTTATTTTACAAATGCAAATATGCTATTGCCATTCTTATTAACACACTAAGGTAGCAAAAATATTGTTTTCATGTTGTTAGTTGTAACAACATCTGACCCATATTTTAAATGGAAATCTGACTACCAGCTACTTTCAGCGCTTTCCTCGTCACAGGGCATCACTACAGCACAGTTTAATGCTAGATGCCCTTCCTGTGGACAGTGTTGCCAACTTATATTTAGCGAGTTTTCAGACCACCTTAGCGACTTTTTTTCTAAAAAGCGACTAGGGACAAATCTGGCGACTTTTTCTGGTGTTATTGGAGACTCATTTATGACGACATTTTGACGTGAAAGCGCGTATCGCTCTTACTCTCAACAAGCAGCGGGTGCTGCCGTGGGCACCTCGCTCGTGCAAAGTATCAGCAACCCTCCCCCAGCTGCTATCAGGGCAGGAGATGTTCCCATCTATGCGTCCAAACTGCAAATGAATCGCGCATGAGCAAAGCCGCTACTCCCGTACTGACTGTA